GTATATATATATATATATATATATATATATATATTTGCGGTTTCCTTTGTTTTTTTCCTTTCTTTCTTTTGCAACCCTTCGTAAAGGATTACGAAATAACGTGAGAAACGATAATGGAAAAATATTAGCTCAAATAGACGAATGTACAAATATTGACATAAGGGTGGAACTCGTGCCAATCGTGCAACCGTTATGACGATATCTGTTCTCACCACGGAATTCAATTCGCGTTAAAACCAACTACATTGGATCGCACGGAGAGCAAACGAGTTTACACGAGTTTCGTTACATCGACTAAGAGTCCATATCGGAACCGCAGAACCGCTGTTACTGCGCGAAAGATTTGGAGCTGAAGCTTCGTTCCTCGAATCACGCCGGTGGAACAAGCGGATATCAAAGCGAGTATCGTGCAGCCTTCCCGGCAGGCAGGCAGTCAGGCAGTAAGGCAGGCAGGCGGCATCTAGCTAATGATCGCGGTGTACCGTAACGTGCTACACGATTTCAACGATAAACTACAGAGCACCCGCCACCACCCGCGGCACCGCAAACCCGTTTTTCGAGCAATAGGCTTTTTCTACCCGCCTTCTGCCCGCCGAACCGAACCCTCGCCGTTCGATAAGGAGGGCTAACGACGCGTATCGATCGCGTCGAGACGCGCTTAGAACGCTTAGATCGTGAAGAATTTGCGCGGAGACGACCACATGTATCACGTGATGAAACCGATTGTCTTATTGTACGTTAAACGACGCGATTGCTGAGAAAAGATTTTTAGGAGAGAGGAAGAGAGTGAAAGATGACTGAATCGTGATCATAATCGTTCGACGATCATACTCTGGGAGTTTTCTCTGAAAGGATTTTTTAATAGTTGAGTATCTTTCAGTTTGGGTTTGGGGAAAAATCGAGAAAAGCGCAGGTCAAAATTTTGATTAACACTTTAAACTGTATAGGTGGTGTTGTAGGGGTAGTTTTTATAACGCGGGTAAATTTTATTAGCGATTCCGCGAAGATGTGAAAAAAATATTGGATACAAGGGTGTATTCATTAGGGTAGGAAAACTTACAAGTGAGTGAGTTTATGTAACGAAGGAAAGGAGGACAGTTCGAGGCAAATGAATCAATTTAAATATATTTTATACTCTGTCGCGTTTATATCTTATCATCGCTTTCTTTTCGTATATTAGAATCGTGAAGAAATTCAAGAGCAATCGTATACGCGGAATATTTTTCGTAGAAAAAAAAGAAAAAAGAGAGAAAAGAAATATCAATCACTCGTCGAAATTTTCCAAACTTTTTCTTCGCGTCCACGCCAAAAAGAAAAGAAAGAAAAGAAATAGGAATCGCCAATAGGAAAATTTCGAAAGGAAAACAACCCTCCACGTGGTCTCCCCCGCCCTTTATCCCTCTCTGCCCGATTCTCTCTGACTCGATGCCTCCCCTTGCCCTTCCACACCGACACTGTTGTCTGGTTACTTCGCGCGGTTTAACCTGGCCCGATTGTCAGTCAGTGCCAAGCTCCGATGGCGCAAGGAACCTCCAGCCACTCGGAGTAGCAGTACCTGAGAATCACGTGAGACCATTTCCAACGAGGGCCTCCAACTTTCCGTGTACCTGAGAAAAGAAGATCGCCTTCCATTCGCGTCTCCTTCGAATCAACGAAGAGTACACGAGATTTTCGTCTCGGGAAGAAGTCTAAACACGGTTAAATAAAACAGAATTGGCAACTCTTTCGAGAAAGCTCGCTTCGAAGAGCATCCTTCCATTCTGCACACGTCTCATCTTAAACCATCCACGCCCAAAAAAATCGTCCCAAATATCGTCGACTTCCAATTTCGTTGCGATCATCCTTGGCGTATAACTCGATACACCATCGATATCGAACCGTTGGTTGAAAATAGTGGATGCGAAAGCGGAGTAACGAAAGGGAAGCGAGCGGTACGAACGATAGAAAGAATCGTGAGGAGAGTTGAGAAAAGGAGGGAGGGAGGGGGAAGAGAAAAAAGGGAGGCATATCGATAGGGAGGCAAGAGAGTTTCCTCCGCCTCCCCTAAAACTCGGCGTCAATTAATCTTGGCCGGGTCCGGTCGAATCTTCCGGGTCTGAAAAAGAGCGGCGCGGAGGCGGCCGTCAAAGAAAACACCCACAACAAACAAGCGGGAAAGGAGCAAGAAGAGGGCCCCGGCAGCAACAAAGCGGGCCGACGGACAAGAAGAGAGGCGAGGAGGCAAAGGAGAGAAAGGGTGAAGCGCGAAGAAGAGGAGGTGTTCCTCCTCGCCGGCACGTGCGCGCACCGGCTCTCCTCGTGACTCGGAAGAAGGGCTTGGATCCGCAGGAAGGAACGAAGA